TCACGACAGATCTGATGAATTGGAAAACACCCCATCTTTCGCAGAAAAACCTCAGGCTATGATGGACTTGGTGACTTCAATAGTAAATACTAATAGTCCTACTTGGACAGGTTGTCGCCAGCTCCTGAATACTCTTTTCACCACTGAGGAAAGGAGAGACATAATTGAAAAGGCACAGATATATTTGCGTGAGCAGGCCAGAGTGGGAAATATTTATAATATTGACCGTCATCTCCAGGAAAACTTTCCCTTGGAAGATCCTAATTGGGATCCAAACAATGCAATTCACCTGGCCAGACTTACCACCTACTGCCAGACGCTTGTGCAAGGTATCTGCAGGGCATGCCAGAAGCCCACTAATGTCTAAAGTTTCAGGAGGGTAGATGTGTTACCCATAGCACTGTTTCGTGTTCGGTGCGCACCCACAAAAAGACTTAAGTTGTCACCTTTTGAGCTCCTGTATGGGAGGCCGCCCTCCTTTGTTCAGGATATTCCAACTGACCTCAAACAAATAGGAGACCATGCGACACAGGGACAAGTGCAATCTCTCTCCCGTGTTTTTGTCTCTCTCCCGTGTTTGTTTGTTTTTTTTTTATCTTAACAGGTGGGCCCTCGAGCGCACGCCGTGCAGCATTGCCGTGCCGATTCATCAGCTCCAGGCTGGCATAGCATATGGGTGAAAGAGTGGAAACGTGATCCACTTGCACCTAAGTGGCGTGGACCTTACACCGTCCTGCTCTCTATTCCAACAGCGGTGAAGGTAGCTGAGGTGACCCCCTGGATTCATCACTCCCGTTTGAAGAAGTCCGAAGGCAGTTGGACGTGCAAAGGTGACCCCTCTAATCCTCTTAAACTGACTCTCTCCAAAAAAAACCCTGTATCTAGCCCTACCGGGAACGGGCTAGGTCACGGGCAACATTAGACGACCGGCCTGCCGCAGCCACAACCTGGAAGCTGGCTGACCTGCGCACGCCTGAAGCTTGAGGAGCGTCTGAACCAGCGACTGTGAGCGGGAAGATTCTCTTATACAATTGATTGACTGCCCCCTTGTGGAACAATTATCAGAGATATTACACATTGGGGATCCTTGGGATATATGTTTTGGTCTTGGTGGTTCCCCATTTCTGTCACTGGGGGAATTATATTGGGACTAATAGTTTTATGCTATCACAATAAGGTAATCTTTTGTGGAAGGAATGCATATGCTAGACATCAACATGATTTTATTATTAATCCTGATCCCTTGGGAAGGGGAAGGGTCCTTGAATCTGACCAAATTTGCTAAATATGGATTCCGCCATGACCACAATATGTGGGTAGGCTTAGCTGAGATGGTAGCCAATATGGCAAATAGGACCAATTGCCTTGTTGCTCTCTTGGGCCAGATGATTCAGAGGGAGGTATGCCCTTATTACCGATACCATTAAATGCCATTGGTATGGTAAGCGAAATACCACACCAAACAGAAATACAGAATTTCCCCGGATGGAACTCAACTAAACCATTATGAGTTATACCTGTACAAGGGGAATTCTGTGTACATAAATCATCAGATGCAGCTGATTCTACCATGATAGGCTCTTCTCATTGTCACTATACTTGGGATTATATTAAGAATAGTCATACCTGGGCACACGGTACTACCTATCGAACTCGGAATGCCTTGCCCTGTGCACCTCCTTTTATTCATGCATGGAAAGTGGTATGGAACATAACTGTGACAGAAAAAGGCAATCTAACATACTGCACTGTGAACTCTATACCCCTTTTGATATTTCGCCTTATGCACTCCACATACCAAAAACCTCAGACCCGATGGTTGTGGTGGATATGTGGAGAATGGGCATACAAGAAACTCCCTTCCAAATGGAGTGGGACTTGTTTCCTGGGATGGGTATTACCACCAATGTGGATTTTGCCCACTAGTTCAGCCAAGCGAACACGAAGAAACGCTGATATTTCTCATATAGCAGGAGGAAATACCCAAAGTTGGAGCGGTACTGATGATTGGCCGCCAGAGCGCATAATAGCCTATTATGATCCTGCCTCCTGGAATCCTGGTGAGCTCATACAAGGGGCACGGGATCCTATTTATAATCTAAACAGAATAATTCGATTACAAGCAGTAGTGGAACTTGTAACCAATGCAACGGCCCAGAATTTGAGACTTATTGCACGACAGTTGGATGACTTGCCAGGCAGGGAGGCCTGTGTGGAATCTTGAACTTGACAGGGAATGCCTGTTGCTTTAACATTTCAGATAATGGTGAGGCAATCCGTGTGTTGGCCACAAAGATGGAGAGTATAGCACATGTCCCAGTACAAACATGGGAAGGATGGGATATGGGATGGCTCACCAATTGGTTACCTAATGTCACAGGACTCAAAGGGATACTATTGTCTTGCTTGTTTTTCTTGACAGTAGTGGTAATGGTTTTATGTATGGTGCCATGTATCATCTCATGTTTTAGGAGTACAATTAGCAAGATGATTTCGAATGAAACTCTACCTCATATCATGGCACTATATAGAGCCTTACCTCAGGAATATGATGAAGATCAAGCTATCAAGGACGCTTGGTAGCAAGGTCCTTGAGCTTGAAAGGGGGGAATGTGGCATCTGAATATAGACTGCATTTTTAATCAAGGCTTATATTTTGATCAGATACCTGTATTCTTAAAATGAGCTTAAAATATATTTTAAAATATCTGTATCTCTCATGCCAGGCAGTGAGTGCATCGGCAGATGTGCTCATCTTAAAGAGGGCCCCTTTGGTTTATTGGTTTATTGCGGTCATAAAAAGGCTGAGAAGCAGGTCACTGACCTTGCATGCTGTAGAGTACAACTAAGTTGTAAAGTGGTAGGTAAACAGTAAAATAAAACCATGTGCCTTAAACTTGAGCCACAGGACAAAAGGCCAAGAGCACATGGAAAACAAAGCAACTGGCTGGAGAAGGGGGGGTGTAAACTGAAGAGGCTTCTTTTAAAGCGGTTTTTTACTGTGTTCCTTTTTTACTGAGTTCCTTTTTCTACTAAGAGGCTACCTGTGTTGTGTTAAGTGTATTGGCATAAATGTAATTATGCAAAGGATTTAACAAATGCTAGATTCTTATTTCATATAGTTGTAAGAGTTGTATTTAAGTCAGCCCCCTGCCAGACAAGAAGACGCCATCCGAGCAGTCCTGATATATATGGTGGTCAGACATTTGTTTGGAAACCTTCAAATGAAGGAGATCTTTCAATGTTGATGTGAAACTCAAGATCCTTGACATATGTTTAAGATAAAAATTTAAGATTAACCATTTGTTTTAGAAGGCAGTAGGGCAAGGAGGGCAAGAGGTGAGCTGGTAATTAAGATTCCTTGTTGAGACACATGTAAGATATATTAATACTTATTTGTCATTTATAGATGTAACAATATATAGCTCTTTGTGTTCCATATAAGGACAGGAGGATATGGGTATATCTTTTTGTGATTGGTCATACCAATCAGCCAATAGGAATTTCAACCAGGCTGATGGGACAGAGGCAGCCACAGGAGGAGCAAAGGGGGCTGGATTAAGGGAATATAAGTGCTGGCCATAATGGCAGGAGAGCAGGCCAGAGCTTGGTAACCATATACCACTGTGCCTCTCATTTATTTGTCTGACAAATAAATAATTATTTAATTTCTCTGTTGCTGCGTTGAATATTTCATTCCAGCTAAGCGTTAACCACAAGCAGGGTGCTACACTGCTGCATTTCAAGTACAATTTTATGTTGCTGTACACACAAGAGAGGGAGAGGGGTACACATTAGTTGTTTGGTTTCCTCACAACAGAAACTCTCCCCTAAACTCCTATTCAGTGAAGCTGTTGCCTGGACATGCAATGTATGTCTGAAATGCACACATTTCACCTTAACCACAGCTTGCTTTTCAAATCAGGTGGAAGTCTATTTCAAGGGAAAGAGCCGTATGTCTCAAGATATTACAGGATACATATGGATTGGACTAATGTCATGCATACTCAGCTTCACGCACCAGTTATGAAGCATACTGGAGCCAGAGTAAACAGTAATGTGTACACAGCCTCAATTTCCTGGACAGAGGGAGACTTTCTGAGGTCTTTCTAAGAGCTGTATGGAATTGGGAATATAGAACTTCCTGTTACGTTGGTCTCAAGTTTTCCAGGCCAAATTGCCCACCCCAGTGCTATGTCTAGGCCTCATCCTACTATCTGAAATACATCGTTTTTTTGTTTCTCTGAAGAAACAGTCTCCCAAAAAGTATTTGTTCTATGTCTGTTGTCCAACATGCCTTCACATTTGCCTGGCAGTAACTCCTGAATTAAAGGGACACGGGTGGCGCTGTGGGTAAAAGCCTCAGTGCCTAGGGCTTGCCGGTCGAAAGGTCGGCGGTTCGAATCCCCGCGGCGGGGTGCGCTCCTGTTGTTCGGTCCCAGTGCCTGCCAACCTAGCAGTTCGAAAGCACTCCTGGGTGCAAGTAGATAAATAGGGACCGCTTACTAGCGGGAAGGTAAACAGCGTTTCCGTGTGCGGCTCTGGCTCGCTAGAGCAGCGATGTCACACTGGCCACGTGACCCGGAAGTGTCTCCGGACAGCGCTGGCCCCCGGCCTCTTGAGTGAGATGGGCGCACAACCCTAGAGTCTGTCAAGACTGGCCCATACGGGCAGGGGTACCTTTACCTTTAACTCCTGAATTATTTTCCTCAACGTCCATTGCTGTCTGCTTTCCCCAACTTGCTCAAATCTCCTGACATGTATGCTACTGTGAGTGACACTTTCTCGGAAAGGATAGAATATCACACTGGACAAAAATGCTTTTCTTCCTGAGGTTAAACCCTACACAGACCCTCAAATATACATGAGCCTGGTATTGAATGGGAGAACAACCAAAATAGCAATACATTCCATGGCGTAAAACAAAACATTATAGGAGAGATCAAAACAATACATGGTTGCAGGTAAGACATCTTTAATGGCAAATCAGACCTTCTTTTGCAACATTTGCTATTAGAGTATAAGGCAAACAGGTCTCTTGGAAATCTGTCAAGTTCTCAGCAGCTTCCAAACTGTTGGAGCAACAGAGCCCCTTTGCTCTTCCTGGAAAGAAAAAGGTAACATATATTGAAATTATTATTGCGGGTAACTAGAATCATAAAACCAAATTATATAAATTTTCTTTTCTATTTTAAGAGCAGCTCTTAGTTTGAGAAACACAATAACCTGCATTCCATCTTGTCCCCTAGAAATGCAAGGGAACATTTTGGTTCCTAATGTAAGCCACTTTCACCACAGAAAATCAGTCAGAATTCTGACTAGTAAAATCTTCCCATTTAAATAAACACAACAGACATTGCAAGCGGAACTGTCAATATGAGCAGCGTTGTTTCGGAATACCTTACTTCAGCAACATCTGCACTATGCAGAAGTGTACTTTGTTAAAGGTCCTGAGAAAACCCCAATTCCCTTCAGAGAGCTACAATTCCAGGGAATTCCTTATTCCATGGAACTCTGGGAATTGTACAGTGGTGCCCCGCAAGACAAATGCCTCGCAAGACGAAAAACTCACTAGACAAAAGGGTTTTCCGTTTTTTGAGCTGCTTCGCAAGACGAATTTCCCTATGGGCTTGCTTCGCAAGAAGAAAAAATTCTGGGTTTGAATTTCTGTGTGGTGGGTGGCTGGGGGAACAGTTGGGGAGGAGTTTGCAAGAATCTGGAAGCTTGTGTGTGTTTTTTTCTGCATTTTTATGATTTTCTGTGACCATTGGGCTACTCTGCTGTTTTTTTTAAAAAAAATCTGGATTTGAATTTCTGTGTGCTGGGTGACTGGGGAACAGTTGGGGAGGAGTTTGCAAGAATCTGGAAGCTTGTGTGTGTTTTTTCTGCATTTTTATGATTTTCTGTGACCATTGGCTACTCTGCTGTTTTTTTAAAAAAAATTCTGGATTTGAATTTCTGTGTGCTGGGTGACTGGGGGGAACAGTTGCGGAGGGGTTTGCAAGAATCTGGAAGCTTGTGTGGTTTTTTTCCTGCATTTTTATGATTTTCTGTGATCATTGGACCACTCTGCTGTTTTTTAAAAAAATTCCTGGGTTTGAATTTTGAAATGCTCTTTACAGTGTGTGTGACTTTAAAGAGCACTTAAGAAACTCTTGTTGTACCAAATTTGGCTTTGTTTGGACTTTTTTTGACCATAGGAACGCATTAATTGATTTTCAATGCATTCCTATGGGAAACCGTGCTTCGCAAGACGAAAAATTTGCTAGACAAAAAAACTCGCGGAACGAATTAATTTCGTCTTGCGAGGCACCACTGTAGTTCTGTAAGGGGAATAGAGTTTCCTAACAACTCTCAGAAGAAGAAGAAGAAGAAGAAGAAGAAGAAGAAGAAGAAGAAGAAGAAGAAGAAGAGGAGTTTGGATTTGATATCCCGCTTTATCACTACCCGAAGGAGTCTCAAAGCGGCTAACATTCTCCTTTCCCTTCCTCCCCCACAACAAACACTCTGTGAGGTGAGTGGGGCTGAGAGACTTCAAAGAAGTGTGACTAGCCCAAGGTCACCCAGCGGGTGCATGTGGAGGAGCGGAGACGCAAACCCAGTTCCCCAGATTACGAGACTACCACTCTTAACCACTACACCACACTGGCTCAGCTGCAAACAACAGACTACACTTCCCAGGATTCCTTAGGAGAAACCATAGTTTAAAGTGGTATGTAGTCTGAGTGATGTCATAGTTGCTTGACAGGAAAAAACTTCAAAGTATAGTCTGGGTGGAAGCATGATTATGAGACCATATTTGTAACCCTTTCAACTGACAAAAGTGAATCAAGGAATCTGGATATGTGACTATATCCCAGCTCTGGAGAATTCTTGGCATTGTTGTTACCGTTGTTGTTACCTTGCACATCTGAGTTGGTTACCCCAGCCCCTCTGGGAAGCTTCCAACAAAATGTAAAAACACAGTAAGGATATATGTAGGATGGCTTACTTCTCATCCTACCAAAACTTTCCCAGTGTCATCATAAGTAGATACAGAACAGCTTAGAGGTTTTGAATACAGTCGTACCTTGGGTTACAGCCACTTCAGGTTGCCTTTTTTTGGGTTACGGACTGCTGAAACTCAGAAGTACCAGAACAGGTTACTTCCGGGTTTCGGCGGTCGTGCATGCACAGAAGCTCCAAATCACAACTCACGCGTGCGCAGACGCGGGTTGCGAATGCTGCGGGTTGCGAACGCGCATCCCACATGGATCACATTCACAACCTGAGTGGCACTGTATATCTTTCTCTTCTATCATGTTATCATCACTTTAGTTATTTTTCTATAAAAAAATAATTATTATTTCTATACGTACAGGGCATGAATGCAGAAATCACACTGGTTGCTATAGTTCTTTCCATCGGAACCGCAGTGAGGCATATAATTCAATGGGCACATGAGATCATTTGGGCTAAAGTTCTTACAATAGTCCTGCAAAAAGAAAGGGATTCTTAATCTGTCACCTGTTAAATAAAACTAAGTTCCACTTTACATAAGAAGTAGTGATGTACCCATCAAACTTTTACATTTGCTCACCAGTTCAACATAACTTCTTTTTTAAAGTGCAATTTGTATTCAATTTTGTAAAGTCATACATATTTGCAACAAAGAAACAAAAACCAAAAAAATGAAGAAATAGGAAACACAACAGTCATAATTTCATATGCATTATATTATCTCAAATAAATATTTTGGTTCAAATGAAGCATGCGCTTTGTTATTTCAGTATTCAATAAACTTTGCCCAATTCTGTCTAAACATATTAAGTTTATGCCTTCTTTCACTCTTGATACCTTATAAAAAATTCCACAACTGCAAAAATGAAGGTTTTTTTGCTTCCAGTTCTGTTAAGAGAGGGATTGATACCTGCCACTCCCAATATCTAGAATAACACAGTCATACTGCTTACCAGAATCTGAATACATTGACCTCCATACTTCACAGCCACATTCTTGTTGGATTCCCTGGGTAAGAAAGAGAGAAAAGTTGACAAATTCTTTCCTGTAGTTCACATTATTAAAACAAACTATGTTTAGCTCTTCAGAACTGCTACAGACAAAGCTTGACTGAGCTGGTTCTACAATTTGTATCCTTGAGCTCCTTCATCTGTTGCAGATCCTTTGTCCTCCTGCTACACAAAGTTATTGGGACTTCTATGATTCCGCTAACCAGAAATAAAAATAGACTTGAAATAAAAATAGACTCTGTAGGTACATAAGGAGCCAGTTTCACTTTATCTACAGCATGCAGGACTGGTTTCACATCCCTGATCAGTGCTGATGCTTATTGGATTGCATTGCGCCAATCATCATTTATCGTTCTCTAGATAACCAATCATTGGACTGTGAGGTTGGTCTCATGTAAGCCACTATGGAAGCTTGGAAAGAAGGTAGGGTGGCAAAGGACCAAATACAATAAATATAATGAGATATCATTATAAAGAATGATAGTCATTGTCCGTTGCCTGGGGGGAAATGTTCAGTATCCACATTACTTACAGGTTTTGACGACAAAGATCACATTTACTGACATAAGTGTTGTCATCTGTTCCGCAGACTGGTTTAGCCATTTTGGGGCAGAGCATGAGTCCTTTCGCTTGCCTGAATTCACTGCAATCCATCTATAAAAGAAACATGTAGCATTTTATTGTACCCAGCAATCTTCCATATAATTACCTCTGACATTCATTTTTCCAGTTTTGTTTTGTTTTTTTAAATTCTAAACATGGAAAAAGAAGCTATTTAGCTGTATTTTCTTCTCTGTATAAAGGCGGCTTGTGGTTGTCCCTAGAATCATAGGGGCAGGGGGTTTTGGGGGGCAGGGGAAATCCAGGGCTAGAGCATCCTCAACCTGTCTGGCTTCTTCTTGAAGGCCTCCAAGCCTTCCAGCCTTCTCAGTAATTCATTCATTGTTGCGCTGCCATTACCATCAAGTAGTTTATTCCAATTTCCCACTAAAACCTATCTTCCTGTAACTTGAGCACATTCAGTCTAGTGCTGCCCTAGTTCTTTGGGGCAGCAAATTGTAAATGAGGCTTGATCCCATTATTCCCAGAAGCTAATAGCCCTTTATTCTCAGGCCTATTTCAAGGTGCTGGTTTTAACCTATGAAGACTTATATAGCTCAGGGCCCTTATATGGTACACGTTATGGAACACCTTTCCCCATATTAGCCTCCCATGCCCTGAGGTCAGCATCAAGACTCTTCTCTCTGTGCCCCTCTGGCAGCTATCAGGAAGAGGGTGGCAACAGGGGTAAAACTAGGCTTTATTTCTCCCAGGTCAAAGACCCAGTTTGGCCCAAAAAAAACCCCACACACACCCTAAAAAAAAACCATGCACATTTTGCACACCCACAGGCTGGGAGCCTCAGTGCTGCTCCTCTGGGGGCTTCACCCAGGGCAAAAAAAAATATGGCTCCCCACAGAAACACCGTAGCTATGGCTCAAGTACATTTCCTTTCCCCAACATGTTTGGAGTGTTGTTTTTCTTTGCAGACGGGGGTGTGTGTGTGTTTATGTGTGTGTTTTTCTGTCTTTGGTGGTTAAGGACTAGAGGGGTTGTCTTTATAGTCTGATTACCTTTTACATTGGCACCTCAGTTTTGGAACGTCTCCGGTGATGAACGTTTTGGGTTTCGAATGCTGAAAACTTGGAAGTAAATGCTTCCGTTTCTGAACGTGCCTCAGAAGTCGAACAGCTTGCACTGAGGTACCACTGTATTTTTCTCAATTTTCTCTATTAAATTTGCAGACTGCCCTCGGTTTTCAAACATTTCGAAACTCGAAATGTCTTCAGGAATGGATAACATTCAAAAAACGAGGTACCACTGTACCAGGAGTTGCTTTTAATTATTTCATTTTGATATATATTATATTTTGCAGTTATCTATAGATTACTTTGAGATGAAAAGTGATTCATAAGCTTAAGACATTTCAATTCCCTCCAAATCACACGGCAATTTTGCCCATTTGGTTCTGCAGGTTCAATTTCTCACCACAAAACTCTTTATACCTACCTTTGCACATTCTCCAACATCCTTCTTACCAACTAGTTTGTTTTCTTCGCTGCGTAAGAGAAGAATTTAGGGAACTTTAGCAAACAATTTCCTGTATTCTGGGTTAATTATACTAATAATAAACATTGGTCAGTGCTAATAGACCTGGCAAGTCACAGGCATATGCCCCATTGAGCTAGTTCTGCTATGTACCCTGCTGACAGTCAAAGCAATGGAGTAAAATATATGTGGCATATGGATGGATAAATCCACTGCTTTCTTCTTCAGTTCCTCATCTTTCCAGTCTTAAGCTTAATTCACCCCATTTCCACATCTGTTTAAGTTTTTTAAAAACTAAATAAATGAAAGATCTTATGGAATTCCTTTTTGCGTGCATTTTATCCTAATACATTTTTGTATGCCATGTTGCTTGATGTGCATTTGTATATGTTATTTTTAGCAATATTCATATTTTTATGTACATTATTTTTAATATACAGATTTTTGTACATATGCTTTGAACAATATCTGTGTTTTGGATCACATATTTTTGGAGGATGTACAAATTAGCTGGAAGTACATTAAAATATGAACTGAATTGCAGAGAGTAGAGAGTAAGTTTAATGTCATGTTGTAAGCACACTGGATTTACACAGAGATCACTGAGGACTGAAGCCCAGCTGGTTACCTTGGCCCAGAAATAATCTCTCAGTCTCCGGCTAACCACAGGGGAATAGTGGTAAAATGGGAATGGTCCCATGTAAGACATGTCCCCATCTTGGAAGTGGGGTGGGATGGGAAAGGGACAGATAAAACAAATTGGATGAGACATCATTATAACTAATGGTAGTCATGATCTGTTGCCCAGCAAAGAATCTTTTGCATCTGTGCTACTTACTGGTTATGGCGACACAGTTCACATTCATTGGGATAAGTGTTACCATCTGTACCACAGATTGGAAAATACATCCTTGGGCAGATTATTAGTCCATTACCAGTTGCCTGGAGGTGTTGGCTGCAATCCAACTATAAAAAGAAAAGAAACAACATTATATGTCTACACAACAGTTATCCTTTATATAACATCTCAAGGCTTTCATCCTTTGAAGTTTATAATCGATACACAGGAGAAAAGAGGGTACCTTATGAATCTACCTTTCCTTTTTACATTTCCTATTATTCACAAGGAAGAAGCATGCAGAAGACTGAACCAAGGAAAAATTGTTGAATAAATTTCTCAAGTGTGGACTTGCCTAGGGCATCATTGTACAAAAGGCACCATATAAAAACTGAAACTTGGAATATATAGAATAGCCAGACAATTCTGTGGTGGAATCTAGAAACATGTTTTAAAAAACGCAGTGAAAATGCTTTTTTTAAAAACGTTTTGAAAAATATATTGAATTTGCCATAACTCACCATCACCATCTAGTGTCACATTGGCATAATGCACTTTACAACACACTTAAAACGTTTTGTTTGCAGCTGTATAGTCGAGTCCTGTGTGTAAATAAAATGTCTTCCCTGTTCCCAAAGCAGTGTGAATGGGGGAGAGCAATGGATTGGTCTTGCTAGTGCATTTGAAGGACATGGATCTTCCTCCTGCCCTTCCCCAACCCCAACAATCACAAAAATGAAGCATTATTCAAAGAGAAGGTCTCACATCCCACTGAAATGAGTGGTCATATCGCTGCTAATAACTGTGCTCTTCCACAGCTCTCCTTCACTATAATTGCACTGGAGAACTGCTGTGTGTGTGTTTATGTGTCTGCTTTGTTGTTGACAAGGAGCAGTGAGAACACCACCATTTCCCACTTACACTTGAGGAACACAACTCAAATTCTTCTCCATCTGCCAACTTGCAATTACAGTTTTATCTGTATTACACAACCAACTGCAGAAGCTGTAAGGATAATACGGCATTACTCACCGTGTTTGCCTGAATGTCTTCGTCCCCGAAGACTCCTGAAAGGAGACCAAAGACACATGGATGTCATATCTGAGCTCTCAAAAATTCAGAAGGAAATCTCTAAAGAGATTAAGAGCTGCACAACGGCTTCAAAAGATTATAAAGAGATGGAAGAATGATCAGCGGTTGGTATGCTGAGCGCCAGCCATTTCATATGATTATAAATGTGTGCCTCTAATCAGGTCTATAATATTTTTCCTGTTCTGGGGATGGGTAGATTTGTCCATGTTGCTTCTATTAAGAAGTGTGAATTAAGTAGGCGCACTTCAAAATGCAAACCAAACCTCTCTTCCATCCTTACTTATGGCCATACCTAGGGGATCACAGGACAGGGTCCCAGTACTTTTTATGGATTTATAAGTAAGGGAATTTCAGTGGGACAGCTTAGCTTTCTTCTACCCTTTCATGGCAGGCTGCACCTGCCAAAATTCCCTCTTTCTTCCATATCAGGCCAGTCATCTGAGCAATATAGAAGACTTTTTCAGAATGTCAGCAGTAATACTCTCTCTGTGTCTCTCTCTGTCTCTCTCTCACTCACTCTTTCTGCGTGACTCACCTGTGAAGCACCAAAGTGCCAGAGCAACAACCACAAATGCACCCATTCTTCACTGAGCACTGAATGCACCAATGTTCAGATGAGAAGATTGTCTTGTAGAGCAACTTTACCAGCAGGATATCAGATGGACACATGCAAGCACCTCTATATATATGCACAGGAGTTTACTTTAGAATTCTTCATTGTGAAAGACTTGGCACTCTAAGGACAGTTTCATAACATAAGGAGTTGACATTCTGGGGGGATTCTTTCCACACCCAAAGGATCAGGACAGGATGAAGGCAGAAGGTAGAATGGTCTTCTCACCTAATTTACTGTTCAAATTTGCTTATCCTGCCACCAAGATAAGATGTACAGTTCCTTTATTTACTTTATCTTTTAAGAGAAAAGCAACTGGAGAGGGGCATTTGTTCTGAAGCCATTCATAAGTCTTTTCCCAATGAAATGAAATCTTCTGGGAGCAGGGAGAATTCACTGATAGAAAAATGGTTTCTGAGGTAAACTTTTCTCTTTATCAGTGCAATGAGCACAACAGTGATAAGAACATATTGTCTAATCCCATAACAATCTTGGTTGCCAGGGCTGCTGATGTCTCCTCTCCTGCCCAAATACAGATAGGTAGCCGTGTTGGTCTGCCATAGTCAAAACAAAAAAAATTCCTTCCAGTAGCACCTTAAAGACCAACTAAGTTAGTTCTTGGTATGAGCTTTCGTGTGCATGCACACTTCTTCAGATACACACACCAGTATCTGTATCAGATCTGTATCACCAGTATCAGATACACACACCAGTATCTTCAGTGTGTGTATCTGAAGAAGTGTGCATGCACACGAAAGCTCATACCAAGAACTAACTTAGTTGGTCTTTAAGGTGCTACTGGAAGGAATTTTTTTTGTTTCTCCTGCCCAAAGTTCAACAAAGTATTACAGCTGACTAGAGGTTTTTATAAGGAGAAAGAAGAAAATTGTAAACAATGGTTAAGAGAACCAGGCTTTTGGTAAGAACTCATTGCTCAGTTGTTGAAGGAATCCAGATATGAATGTGTATCCAAGGGTTGTATTCACACAAGGATTTCCATGTGATCTATGGAACTTTCTCTCACCTTCCTCTTCCTCTATGCCCCTCCAAAATCATCACTGGAAAGTGGGTTGAAAGACAGAAAATAGATTTTTGGATTTGAAGGATAAGGAAAGGAGAGGAAATCCCGAAAACAGAAGTACTTAAGCTAATGGGACCACTTTGTTGGATACAACTCAGTCTCAATGATGGGCCATAGCTCCCTCATAGCAGAGGACTTGTTTTGAATGCCAGAGGTCCCCATTTCAATTCATGACATCTCCAGGTAGGAAAAGACTCTAGATTTAAACACACAAGAGGCATTGCCACACAAAGAGCACAGTACTGAGCTAGATGGACCAGCAGTCTGACTGGATAAGGGAGCTTCCTAGCAAACGCAAGTAAGTGCTGCTTTTGTGAGGGAAAGACATTTTTCAAGCACTCAAAATGCATAGTAACACAGGAAGCTGCATTACGCTCAGGGCCGGCCCACCCATGAGGCGAGCTGAGGCAGCTGCCTTGGGTGTAGGAAGCCTAAACAGTGGTGCTGCTAGTGGTGAAATGATGGCAATATGTCACAGATATCTCATGAGATCTCATGTAGCGCATTGTGAGATGTCCACAGCAGTTTTGGGACCACAGTAAGGGAGGCTTTGGTGAGAATGGCATTGCAGCGGCAGGGCAGGGTGACACCTTCCCACTTTGCCTCAGGTAGCAAAACCAGTCCACAGAGGGTCCACAGCCTGTCAACTTTCTCCTCCTTAGGCTCAGTGTTGCCCTTTGAAAACTCAGCAGGAAGGATCAGTGGACCAGACTTAGGTGACTTTGGCTGTCATTGGCCCTTCCTCTGCCTACTGCTGGTCTTCCTGTCTTCCGCCAAACACATTTGCCCCTTCTCCTCTGCAAAGCTACACCACTGCAGCAAAACTAACCCTTGCTCTTTCACATGTGGCTATCCTGAAAAGGCAAAGAGGCATGTGGTTTCACTCATTGTTCTCTGGGTCTACCTGCCATTTCATCAATAGGACTACTTCAGTGAGTAGAAGCACCTGCCAGAGGCCTGATATAAAAAATACACTGAACCCACCATAGTGATCAAAGCTAGTTTTCTCATGTGAAGGAGCAGGAGAAAGGATAAGGAAATGTTGGAACTACGGAAGTGAGTGGCAGCTGGAAAGAAGGTGTCTGACAATAGTGGTTTGTTTGAGAATGTGTGAGAGAAAGGATTTGATATTTATGCTGATTGATTCTGGAAGCTGTTATGTTTTCTTTCAACAAAAAAAGTACAGTTGCTCTAAGGATGCAGAAGCAGCCCTACCTGAAATACAAGGGAATTACACAGCATATACAATGATGGAAAAATGGAGAGGAAACATATCTGAACTAACGGGTCAGAGTGCCAATTCTCCAGTGCCAAACAAAATAATATGATGCAAAGAAGCTTACAAATGTCACATTGGTCACTATGGAATTCCCGTCGCAGTCTAAATATCAAGGAGTGAATAATTCAACAGTGTCATTTACTTTTTCTGCAAGAATATTGTTGTGGGTATCCCAAAGGAGCATGCACTAAGGAGCTTAATCCCCATTGTGGCTCTGATGGCATCACCTATGACAACAAGTGTATTTTCTGCAATGCATATATGTGAGTATAAAGGTAAAGGTAAAGGGACCCCTGACCATTAGGTCCAGTCGTGACCGACTCTGGGGTTGCGACGCTCATCTCGCTTTACTGGCTGAGGGAGCTGGCATACAGCTTCCGGGTCATGTGGCCAGCATGACTAAGCCGCTTCTGGCGAACCAGAGCAGCACATTTACCTTCCCCCCGGAGCGGTACCTATTTATCTACTTGCACTTTGACGTGCTTTCGAACTGCTAGATTGGCAGGAGCAGGGACCGAGCAACGGGAGCTCATCCCGTCACGGGGATTCGAATCACCAACCTTCTGATCGGCAAGTCCTAGGCTCTGTGGTTTAACCCACAGTGCCACCAGCGTCCCATATGTGAGTATACATTTCACTTATAAAGTACAAATTTTGCATTAAAATGTGAACTAACCTGAAATCCCACCCCCACCTGGCACCGTGGTAGGTGAATAAGGCAAGTTGATTACTGCTGTATATCTTTGCTGCAGCACCACTTTGTAAAATATTCTCCTTTAACTGTCATTTTATGTCAGTTTTTTTTGTTTTGTTTAAGTTGAGTTGAGACTTAGCAATTCCAAAATCCACATCAGGGCCACACCTGTATTAGGTCATTATTACCTTTGCAATAATTGTATTATTGCCCCACCAGGGATTTATTTATTTTTCTTATGGGCCAATATGTCTACCGTTAATATCTGTGAAAATGGAAGAAGGATTCATTGTAGCATTTCTTTCAAACATTTTACTAATTCTGGGCTGCCTACCAAGTAGCTGTGCTCACCTTTTCAATTTGTACTTTATAGTACTTTACTATTTCAATTTGTACTTTATAGTACAAATCCCTGCTTTTAATAGTATATATTAACGGTAGACATATTGGCCCATAAGAAAAATAAATAAATCCCTAATGTGGATTTTGGAATTGCTAAGTCTCAACTCAACTTAAACAAAAAAAATCTGACATAAAATGGCATTTTAAAAAGGAGAATATTTTACAAAGTGGTGCTGCAGCAAAGATATACAGCAATAATTAACTTGCCTCATTCACCTATCATGGTGCCAGGTGGGGGCAGGATTTCAGATTAGTTCACATTTTAATGCAAAATTACCTAATTCACACTTCACAAACCAATACACAAACTGAAACAAAGCTATCCTTCAAATTTCATGTCTTTAACTTTTGTGATGCCGTTTTGCAGCTTTAAAAAACTGTGCAAAAATTTTATATTAGAAAAACAATACAATCAAAGTTGGGGGGGAGTCTGCACAAAAATGTTGGCATTTTTATATGTTTGTGTTTCAGCTTGCATTTTAAAAGTCCACCACATTTGAGTGTTAATCTGTCCTAAAATACACACTTTTACAAGCAATTTTCCCCAGCACATTGCATTTTTGTAAGATATTTTCAGTAATATTTGTATTATCATGCACAATCCCTCCCAGTAGAAACATTCTTGTGCACATTTTTCATACACAATTTGAAGGATAGCTGTGTTTCAGTTCAACTATCAAGAGGTGTGAATTAAGTAGGGGCACATCAAAATGCAAACCAAAGCAAACTCTCTTCCATCCTTACTTATGGCCATACCTAGGGGATCACAGAACAGGGTCCCAGTACTTTTTATGGATTTGTAGAAAATCCATAGCCATAGCTCCCTCATAGCAGAGGACTTGTTTTGCATGCCAGAGGTCCCCAGTTCAATTCATGGCATCTCCAGGCAGGAAAAGACTCTAGATTTAAACACACAAGAGGCATTGCCACACAAAGAGCACAGTACTGAGCTAGATGGACCAGCAGTATGACTGGATAAGGGAGCTTCCTAGCAAACACAAGTAAGTGCTGCTTTTGTGAGGGAAAGTCATTTTTCAAGCACTCAAAATGCATAGTAACACAGGAAGCTGCCTTACGCTCAGGGCCGGCCCACCCATGAGGCGAGCTGAGGTAGCTGCCTTGGGTGCAGGAAGCCTAAACCGTGGTGCCGCTAGTGGTAAAATGGTGGCAATATCTCACAGATATCTCATGAGATCTCATGGAGAGCATTGTGAGATGTCCACAGCAGTTTTGGGACCACAATAGGGGAGGCTTTGGTGGGGATGGCACTGTGGCAGCAGGGCAGGGTGACACCTTCCCACTTTGCCTCAGGTAGCAAAACCAGTCCACAAAGACTCCACAGCCTGTCAACATTCTCCTCCTTAGGCTCAGTGTTGCCCTTTGAAAACTCAGCAGGAAGGATCAGTGGACCAGACTTAGTTGGCTATGGCTGTCATTGGCTCTTCCTCTGCCTACTGTTGGTCTTCCACCAAACACCTTTGCCCCTTCTCCTCTGCAAGGCTACACCACTGCAGCAAAACTAACCCTTGCTCTTTCACACATGGCTATCCTGAAAAAGCAAACATGCAG